GTATGTGGGGTAAAGCAGCGCTGTTTTATCATACTAGATACATTTGAAAGTTCTGTTATAATGCTACTCTGTGCGGTCGTCACCGGTCTATTAAAACACACACCATATAGTAAAGCTTCTTTGGTGTTTCCATGTTTTCTACAAAACCGGAAATCGAGGGGTTATGACGTCATTAGCAGGCGACACTATGACACTATAGACACGCTCCGTGTCACTAGTTAAAATTGCTTATTTCTCTGGATTTAAACATTCTTTGAAACATTTGGGATAATGTAAGTACACAAGTCAGCAAAATATATAACACTGTTCTAGTGGTTTTTGGATATTTTAATAAAAAAATCTTACATATTGTGCCTTTAATTTGCAAAAAAGTTTTTACGCTCACTTGAGGTGGTTTTTGACTTGTGCGAGAAAGGGTTAATGCGAATAATGTGAGATGGAAACGCATTTGCCCAGTAAATTCCTCCATGCGCTTCAAAAAAGTCATGTGAGTTTGCGCTATGGGACAGACCGACTTTGTTGCACAGCATCTGAAATGTTATGGTTGTTCTGAAATGCCCGAGTTAAGTCTGTCGTCAAAGTATTTCTGTATAATTGTCTCACACGACTGCGTTCCCAAACAGCAGCATCGTCCTCCGAAAGCATTGACCGCATTTATTGTGTTACGTCTGCTCGCTCTGAAGCGCAAGTCATTTATTATATATGAAAATTATTATATTCAGTGGCTTCTCCTAGTTTTCTTAGTGATATATAGTGCCAGTTTACCTGGAAGTGACGATTTTGTTCTCTTTAAACTCGTTGGAAGGAAACAGTGCTTATTCGCAAATGCTTTATGCGATATTTCAATTTTGTGCACAAGTTAAAGGAATAGTTCACCCAAAAATGAAAATTCTTTCATTAATTACTCACCCTCATGTCGTTCCAAACCCGTAAGACCTTCGTTCATCTTCGAAACACAAATTGAGATATTTCTGATAAAATCCGAGAGCTTTCTGACGCTCCACAGACAGTAACGATATTACCACGATCAACGCACAGAAACGTAGCATCGTTAAAATAGTCCACGTGACATCCGTGGTTCGACCGTCATTTTACGAAGCTACGAGGAATTTTTTTTGTGCGCAAAGAAAACAATAATAACAATTTATTCAGCAGTTCTTCTCCCCGAGTTACCGTCTTCCACCGTTTTGGAGACTACCCGAGAATGTAATCAGCGCTGTCTAATAAACGTAAACAACACGTTCTAGGGTACACTCTTTATTCTTTACTGAATAAATTGTTATTATTGTTTTCTTTGCGCACAAAAAAAATTCCTCGTAGCTTCGTATCACCTAGCGTTTGGAACTACATGAGGATGAGTAATTAATGACAGAATTTAAATTTTTGGATGATATATTCCTTGAAATTCGCTACTTTGTATGGAAACCCGGCTAGTGGAGAGATGTGGATATGCATGTTCAGACTCACTCTGAGCGGCCGTGAACGCCGGCAGGTGCTGTTGGGTCAGCAGAGGATACGGCAGCTCGCGGATGAACATCTTCAATAAACCCGCCGCGTCGTTCTGACGCACCTGATCCCAGTCGAAACGATCCTCGTAGAACTTCAGCTCCAGCTCCTGACGCAGATACTGAGGACGACAAACACGGAAAGTGGAATAGGAAACACATGCAAGAAGATGGGAGTGAATTTCTTTTAACATGAACACAGTGTTTTTAGAGAGCCGTTTCATGCATGAGATGCTGCAAGAGACGCGAGCGCAACAGTCAAACAGAGAAAAACTATGGAAAAGCCTGTGAAGAGCTACTACTGTATGTCTGATATTTCATGTTTGCATCATGGTGATGAAGTTTGTACAAGATGTAGTTGTAGTTCATGCATCTTTTCTGTTAAGATATTTAACAAGTGATTTGTTTAACATTTACATCATGTTCACAACTTCATGTGTGCTGCATTTGGAATATAATTTTCTTTAACTAGGGGGTTAATAAAGAACAAGTTACTTAAATCATGTTGTAGTTACATTTTAAAGTTGACTAGCTAAAAATGGTTATAAAAAAATTATAATTTGAGAATCGATCAAACATTCTAAAAAAAAAAATCAAGATTTAAATTTTTTGCCATATTGCCCAGCCCTACAAAACAACAAACAAAAGATCTCCTCAATAACAATAAAGTACCATGGTGCTTGCATGACTTTTTTTTTTAATATTATACAACAGCATTCCAGGATCAGACATCAACATTCAGACTAGCTATGATATGGCATAGAATATCACTTTTTCTTTTTTTTAAATGTCACAATTTTATCACGATTCTTTGTCATGTTGGTATTTCCATTTCGCAAATTGAGCATAACAGCCAAACTAATTTCCCTATTATAAAGACGAAGCCTTTCAAGGTAACAAAATATAAAAAAAGAATGGCGGATATTTAGGCCAAAGTGGGTGAAGATAAAAATCTTTGTCATTATTTTATCTTTGTTATTAAAAAATGAGAACAAAGATACACATTACAACTACACATAATATACAAATAAAACAAACAGTGCTTTATTTTCAGGTACAGTAGGTGTATTTAGCAGCAGCATTCAAGAAACTCAATCAACAAATATAAAAATAAAACACTATATAGATTGATTCCTATTAAAGCAACTGTATTAAAGTTTTTCAGTCACTAGGGAGTGATTTTTCTCTTAGTGTTGTTTTATTAACATTAAAGGAATAATTCGCCCAAAAATAAAAATAGTGTTTTATTTTCATACCATCATTTACTCACTCAAAAGTTGTTTTAAACCTGAATGAGTTTCTTGTGCTGAACATAAACGCTATTTTGAAGAACGTGGAAAACCAAACAGCTGCTGGTCCCCAGAGACTTCTATAGTATTTTTTCCTAAATATCAAAGTCAAGTGTGGATCAGCAAATGTTTGGTTACCCACATTCTTCAAAATATCTTCTTGTGTTCAGCACAAGAAAGAAATTAATACAGGTTTGGGACAACATGTGAGTGAGTAAATAATGACAGAAATTTAATTGTAGGGTGAACTATCCCTTTAATGACAGTCAGCAGCATGTTTAGTACTGTCCCTTTAAGAGCTGCACGAATCTAATAATACACAGACATGCATCTGTTTCTCTCTCAACTATTTACTTTCACTTTAGACATAACCAACTGAGTCTATATGTAAACCTTGTGTGTTTTGACAGTATTAGCGCAAAAGATAACTTAGTCCAGTAATCAGGCGCTGTTTGGATCTGGATCTTGTGTTCTGCAGTGAGGACCATCTCGCTTATCGAGAGAAAAGCTGCTCATAACTGCTGGTCCAGGATCAGTCTTTTCCACAGTAATTTAACATGTTGAGCGTGGCTGTCTCTAGATCAGCAGCTGTGGAAAAACGTGTTTGCACGGCACGCGCAGAGAAAACTCATTAATGCAGTTTTTAGAATATTTTAGCAAAGTTACAGAAACACGCAGACGGAGCGCCACATCATCACTGTACAGAGCAATGGCACTGCTTTGAGCGAACCAAAGCTACTGGTTCAGTCGCTGCACAGTTAAGTGAATCTCACAGGACCACAGTGCAGGGCAATAGGGAATATGCACCATCCATTGTTGACATATTGCTCTATTTAGGAAAACAAGGACTTGCACTGAGAGGGCACGACGAGAGAGACGCTTCTGCAAATCGTGGGAACTTTTTGGAACTGTGCGACTGGTATGCCAGGCAAATCCTCGAGAGTCTGTATGCATTTTTCTCACAACCAGGCACTCACCATGCACACCAGCAGCACCAAAAGAAGCTTGGAGTTAAAGCGGAACTGACAGCAATTGGCGACACGAGATGGGCATGTCGTTGGAAAAATAGCTCAATAAGAGCCCTGCTCTCCACTCTTTCCAACGTATCGTAGGTTTGAGGCATCTGGTCTATTAAGCCATCTCAAGAAGGTCACATTCTGTGTGTGTCTTGTGGTGTTTTACCATGTTTTTAGTATGATCCATGTTGCGCACAAGGCACTACAAAAGAAAGACACAACACTATCTCAGGCTTCAAGTGTCATGGAATCTACAATAAAGGGCCTTGAGAGTATGAGGACCACTGAAAAGTGGGAAGAATTATGGATCGAAATCGAAGCATTCTGTAATTCACTTGACATTCCAGTCTGAAGATGAATGCGATCACACACGTAAGCGAGCAGTGAAAAGAATTGCTACGTTGGATTCCTGTGTTGTCACAAGTTCCCTTGGACAAAGAGAATATAAAACAGATATCACACAAAGCATGCAAGATAAACGGGCCCAAAAGCTGTACTTTCCTGTTTTAGATACTATTTTGGGTGAGTGTCAGTCCCGGTTTTCCACCCAGACCATGGAAATAGCAAAGAGTGTCGATGCAGTGCTAAAATGCGATCCAGAAGTCTTTTAATTATTTTATTATTTCTTCAAAAGCAGATCGTGGAGACATTTTTATCGTCCACGATCAAAAATCGTCATATTGCACATCCCTAATTCAGACGTGTATCTGGAGCAAATGTAGCATATTCGGACGCTCTCGACATCACGTTAACTCTCTTAAAGCGGCCGCATGTCTTGCACAATACGAGTGTGATTTGACTTTCTAACTTAATTTCTCTCATCCTGAGTAACGCTGAGGACTGTGGAATTAAAGCTGGAATCAGTGGGAGAAATCCAGGTCAGATGCTTTACAGATGTGTCACTGAGCCACATGAGGCAAAACACGGCAACAGCACAAATCCTGGAGCAGGCCGTGTTCATCACGCTGCAGAGAATGAAGCTGATGTCTGCTGTGTGAATGATGCTGTACTTCTGGAGTGATGATGGATCATTTACCTTCACTCTGGACGCTGATCCCGGAACCCTGAGAATCCCCTCCGTCTGTAAGCCCGTCTGCTCCAGTTTAGACAACAACTGAAAGCAGGAACACAAACAACATCAGCAACACATGAGATACACAAACATACATGCTGGATATTAGCATAGCTTTCTGGACATTTACTATGGTAACACCTTGTTTTCTGGACTCTTTCTATGGTAACACCATGTTTTCTGGACACTTTCTATGGTAACACCATGTTTTCTGGACACTTTCTAACCATGTTTTCTGGACATTTACTATGGTAACACCGTGTTTTCTGGACATTTTCTATGGCAACACCATGTTTTCTGGACACTTTCTAACCATGTTTTCTGGACATTTACTATGGTAACACCGTGTTTTCTGGACTCTTTCTATGGTAACACCATGTTTTCTGGATATTTTCTATGGCAACACCATGTTTTCTGGACACTTTCTAACCATGTTTTCTGGACATTTACTATGGTAACACCGTGTTTTCTGGACTCTTTCTATGGTAACACCATGTTTTCTGGATGTTTTCTATGGCAACACCATGTTTTCTGGACACTTTCTATGGTAACACCATGTTTTCTGGACACTTTCTATGGCAACACCATGCTTTCTGGATGTTTTCTATGGCAACACCATGTTTTCTGGACACTATGGCAACACCATGTTTTCTGGACACTTTCTATGGTAACACTATGGTTTCTGGACATTTACTATGGTATAACTATGTTTTCTGGACATTTACTATGGCAAACACCATGCTTTATGAAACATTTAGTACTCCAACACCATGTTTTCCGGACATTTACCACGGTAACACCATGTTTTCTGGACATTTACTATGGTAACACAATGTTTTCCAGACATCTACTATGGTAACACCATATTTTTGGGATATTTACTATGGTAACACCATGTTTTCTGGATATTCACACTGACAAGATTATGTTGTCTGGAAATTTACTGTGGTAACACCATGTTTTCCAGAAATTTACTACAGTAACATGTTTTCTGGACATTTACTACAGTAACACCGTGTTTTCTGTACATTTCCTATGCAAAAAAACGTGTTTTTCGAACATATACCATGGTAATTCCACAGAATTGTTTTGAAGTAGCTTGGAGTGGCATGTAAACAGCAGCAGAACGCCGTCTGTGTGCTGTTGTTTTCTGACAGAGATGATTGAGATTCCAGAGTCTTTATCAGTCATTGATAAGAGCGTCAGACTCATCAGCTGTCACACACGCAGCTGTGTGTGGGGGTTTTCTACCAGCCGGGGGTCTCCGTATCTTCCCATCAGCTCTCGAGTTACCCAACACAAATACTGACGGTGTTGCAATGCTGGAAGAATCTCAGGGTGAGCGGATTCACTGCTGAAGGTTTTTTAAAGCATCTATTTTAATCCTCCGTCTCTGTGTTTCTAAGTGTTTCCTCAGTAAATCTCTCTCCAGTGAAACAATAAATGGCCTCCATCATTCCACTTAAAAACAGAGGCATTGAGGTCAATCCAGGCACGTAAAACAAACCAGAGCACTTCTGGCCACCGCCTTTGTTTTTTTGGAAATCCTCTGTAACGGAGATGAGCGTGGGCCGTCGGGTCAGGATAATGTGAGACAGCGCGCCGCGGCTCCGTCCAAGGATGCGGGAGGGACGAGTATCTGAGCCCTGAGAAGTGCTGACTGGGAACTTTCCAGAAAAGTCAGCGCTCGCAATCTCTCTCGATCACAACATTCCAGCCTCGTTTCTAACAACCAAAGAAGGAAAGATGAACGTACCTTCTTAAAAACCAGAGGAACTCTGGAACCGGGGTATTTCTTCTGGTCATTTTCCAGCAACGTAGTGAGAGGAACGCAGAATATGCCGCTGTCTGTGGGAACAAAACGACAGCGTTTACAGACAGTTTTACATGCTTTCTGACATTTACAATGGTAAAACCATGTTTTTTGCACATTTACGATAGCAACACCATGCTTTCTGGACTTTTACTATGGTAACACCATGTTTTCTCCATATTCACAACGGCAACGCCATGTGTTCTAGGCATTTACTATGGTAACACCATGTTGTGCACAATTACTATGTTAATACCATGGCTTTTGTGCACATTTACCATGGTAACACCATGTTTTATGAACATTTACTATGGTAACACCATGTTTTGTGCACAATTACTATGATAACATCATATTTATGGACATTTACTAAGGAAACAATGGTCTTTGGACATTTACTATGGTAATGCCATGTTTTCTGGATATTCACAATGGCAACACCACGTTTTTTAAATATTTACTATGGTAATGCCATGTTTTGTGCACATTTACTATGGCAACACCATGTTTTTATGGACATTTACAATGGTAACACCATGTTTTTTGGATATTTACTAAAGTAACACCATGTTTTGTGGACATTTACTATGGTAACACCATGTTTTTGTGGACATTTAC